CCGTGTCCGATGGCAAGGAGGGGGTTCATGACCTTCTATAGGGGGTGACGAACCTCCTACCGATGCGGTCGCGGGTCGCCCCTCTTTTGGGGGTCTAGTCGCGCGACACTCAGTCAGCTTCTCGTTCTCAGACAAAATGGGTGAGGCCGGTCAACTCAACCGCAGCTCAAAATTCGAACCGTTGGTTTCCCCGTGATATGACAGGAAAAGAAAAGTTGCGTATGCGAACCGGTAAAGTAATAATAATAATAATAAGAATAAGAATAAGAATAACTATAGAAAGAAAAAAGATAGCGCTTCGGATTTCCTCCGCACCGCAGCTCAACCTGGATAGTGGTACAAATCCACGTACAGATCTAAAACCCGACTGTATCTGCCGCTTATCATAGCTACAAGGGTTTTACCGCACGGAGCATAAATGCGCTGACCCGGTACATGGGATATACGAAGGGCCGCAATACCACCGTCAAATCTCGAAGCCGGAATCGTTGGCCTCCCAACAAAGCGACGAGGAACGAAAGAAAACCCGTGTCTGAGAATAATAATAATAATAATAATAATAATAATAATTGAATAATAAAATTAGGGCACAAAGAGAAATCATAACACAGCGGCGATCAGATGTCACTAGATCGGCTCTAACTAAAATAATGGTCTAGATCAGTGCGCCATTCTGACACCCGATTTCCTTTTTCCCCTCTCTTTTCCTTTTTTCTCACATATTTCCTGCTTTCCTTTTTCTTTTTCCCTCCTTTGCCCCTCCTATTCGACTGTCACAGCGAGCCTACGTACCTAACCCATAACTCAACCAGGGCATGTTCGGCGCGCAGTAGAAAAGACAGCGCCGATCTTTTCAACTCCGCGTCCCAGGGCGAACCCGGCGGCTACCACGACCACAAGCCGGTTGTGCTCTGCTGTACAGTAGGGCGCCGAGCCTGCGTGGACCAATGGAAAGCCTTGCGGCGCACCTTTTTGCTAAGGCAGGCGCCAAACAGGACCGGTCCACATCGTGGTACAGCCCAGGTACCAAATGTCATAGCGTTTCGGGGGTAGCTTCAGATCGCAGTACTAAAACTAAAGGTGGTACCAAGTAGGGACTTGGCACACAGAGGAGGGTCCGGACACCACGCCCTCCGACATAATACCAAACCCCCACCCAGCGTCCCCGCTGGGTCCTGTTGCGCCACTTGAAGAGTATAAGAAATAGCGCACATCTTGAGATTCTCATTCATTCTCAGTACTTCATTGCGATACAACGCAGCGTTCTCGTGAGGCATCGCTGCCTGAGGCGCGTCGTCTCCTTTTACTTTTCTTCACTCTTTTCCGTTGCACACCCGCTATGCTGGTCACCCCTTTTCAACGCTAGCCCCCTCTCTCTGCGTCCGTCTCTTCTCTTAGTGCTCACTTTCTTCTTTGTGTAGTGTGCCGTAGTCCTCCATATCTAATACGGCCATTCTCCTATCAATAGTCCCTTATCCTCCATCTTCCGTCTCATCGTCGTGAATTTTGTTTGTACCTCCCCTTCAGTCATAGCCCTTAATACTGTATCACCTGCCCCTCATCTTCTCCTTCTAGTAGTCGCTCATCTTGCATCATGCCTGAGGCGCGTCATGGACAGGGTAGAGGAAGAGGAGGAAGGACAGGGAAGGCTAAAGAGGAGCCGCCGGCCAGGGCACGACGAGATTATAGTTCAGAGGAGGAGGAAGAGGAGGAGCCACGAGGCTACGGCCGCCCAAGGCCATACCCCCGCTACTCGCTAGCAGGGTGGTACGAGAGGACTCCATCTCCAGATAGGATGGAGTTCCTCCGTAAAAAATTTGACGCGCGCTACGGCACACCTAGCGCCTCTTCACCCCCTTACATCCCTAGAGCTCCTTCCACTCCCACTGTAAGCAAGGCCATAGTACCTGCCCCACCTTCCTCTATCCCGTGTGCTGTCTCGTCTCCTCATCACCCTAATCACTGCATTCTCTTCAGCATCTTCTTACTTCTCTTTCTTTTCTAACTCGAGCTCATGGCCGTCTTCTATGCCCTATATAAGCGCGACTTCTTTTCATCATTTTGAATCCGATTTTTGGCTCACAAAATTCTCAATCTAGTCCACTTCATAGCGTCCCAGGCCTGAGAGTTTGGTTTCCTTGGGCCAGGGACGTCGGTTCCTCGTGAACTAGGCCGCCTGTCGGCCACCAAGTAAAATTTTAAGAAGGATTTTGTCTGCTTGTTTGACTTGTTCAACTGTTGGTCCTTTACATAGAGGTTACCTTAGTTCTTGATCAGGCATCTACGCCAGGGATGACCCCAGTAACGAGGGTACTCGCTCTGTCTGCCACGCTGGAAATAGGGCATACCAAACCCTCTTTCTGTTCTCTGGTCTGAGTGGGACATCTTCTCACCTTCTCGAGTACCTGATGGGGATACCAAACCCTTGTTTTCTTTCTCTGATCTGAGTGAGGCGTCTCCTCAATTTCTCAGAAAAAAGGGAGGGGATACCAAACCCTTATCATTTTCTCTGGTCTGGGAACCCCAAATAAATACTTGTATACCTGCAAAATCAGCGAGTCCCACAGACAATAACCATGCCCCACAAGCAGACCCTCTAACAACCAGCAGTCAAGCATTAACAAATTAAAATAGAACCCATAAATAAAATAATAAATAATAAATAATAATTAATACATAACAACTCTTCATACCCAGGATCTATTGATTGCCTTGGTTTCGGCCTACCACTGGCCAAGAATGCCAGACGTCCCATCAGTCTGGCATACCTCATTTGCCCCTTTGACCTACCTCCAGGTCAGGACCAGCATACCCACTACTCAAGTATGACATCCCTTTGGCACTCTCGCCAGGGCACCCAGACTATAGCGGGTCTGGTCACCCAATGACAGCAGACGTCCCGTCAGTCAAATTGTCCCGAATCCGGATTTGACCACTGCGGCCAGGGACCGGCTCACCTACCAGTTTTTGGCCAAGAACTGGCTGCCCCGCCCTGATTTTTGAACGTGGGACCCAGTCTAACCACAGTTCCAGGCTCTGGCGAACCTCACTGGATTGCATCCTCTGACTGCGGGGACCTGCTGACCCCACCAGATTACAACCTTCTGCGGTAAGGCTCTGGCTGGCCCTGGCAATCAACAACATCTAAGGTTAGTGAAGATAACAGCAAGCACAGGCAGTCAGACAAGCATACAATTCCCCACAAGCAGACTGCACATGCCCCCATAACAGGACAAACATTTCTCAAGAGACGTCACTTCGGTCTCAAGAGGCACTGAACAATGACATGCTAGCCAACACTAAGATTTCGCAAGAGACCTCTCTTCAGCCTCAAGCAAAGAACTTAGTGCTAGCCCCAGAGAGGTCCCTTCCCTCAACTGGGATTTCTTATCCAAGAGACATCCCGTCAGTCTCAAGGAAATACTGAAATGATGATCTCAAAGAGGTCCCTTCCCTCATCTGAGTGAAGACAGGCCCTTAGCCAAGAAGCACGAAGTCCCTCTACTGACCACTCTCAGTCTATGTTGCACGCCCGGCCGCGGCCGGGGGGTCCGAGTCGGCCGCGGCCTAGGCCGACCTGCCGAGTTCGGTGCAGTATTTGTTTTTCCTATTTTCCCATTTTTCCTATTTTT